TGAATCTCTCTCTCCCTCACGAATTTTCATCCGTAAACATCGCACAGACGATAAGTAGGGTTTCTTATTCATTATACTGATCTCATGGTATTGCGAATTGTAACTTCTCATGCAGTTATTCAGAGGAAGTTGATAATTAATTAGAGTTAATTGGCCAAAGCCGGCCTAATAACAACTATTGAAAGAATTCGGATTAATTGGGGATTTGTCAATTTTGACATCACCGGAATTTCCACAGCGCATCGACTCCATGGTTTCTTTTAATCGATTTGGTCCGTTGAGCCCAGCCAAAAAAAAATCTGAAGTCAATCGGCCAAAGCTAGGAAAGCGGTTACGGAGTTAATGTTGAAATTGACTAGCGATTTTTTCTGTCCTCGTCGTTTATTTTTGCGCTATCAGTTAAACCAAAATTTTTTTATGTATAGTTCATTTTACGAAACGACCGGTTAAAATAAAACCGATTAATTGTCGAGCAGTGCATGGACGTGGGGTTATCCTTGGTGATATTAAGTACAGGGTCCAGCCTATTTATCGATGAGCCCTAGAAGGCGAGAAAAAAAAAATTTAATATTGGTTTTGTTTTTGACTTGTTCTTCACGGTCATGATACATCAGCCGATCTATTCGTCTATGCATGTTAAGAAAATAATACGCAGTAAAGTATTAAATAATATTAGATATACAAAAAGTTACACAAAAAGAAGGTTCCTGTACAGGAGGTCAAAAACAGTTGTTTTTTTAATCAAATCAATTTGAATACGTTTTAAGCAACCTTTTAAAGCTCTTAAATACGAATTTTTATGTTAAATAAAAGCAAATTTTTTGACAGGATCAAAGGAGGTTTTGTTTCTCACCGGTCTCCATTTAAAAATCTAACTTCTCTAACCTCTAGATTTTGTTGAAATTAAACCTTACACTCGTTACAATGCTTAATTTTCATACTTTCTGCCCATGTCAGTATCCTTTTTATTTTACATCATCATTATGAAGGATAACGAAGGATGAAATGAACGACTCAAACGTTTTATATTTATCACCAATTCTAATTTTTTTTCGCGAAGGCCAAATTAATGCAATTTCGTCCAGTTTATAAGGTTCGAAAATCTGTAAAGTTTCCTGTAGATTAGTGAGGTCGTTCCATTGAATTTACAGTATATTACGACTACGTTCAATTCGTTAACAAGTAACATTGAAAAAAGGAACAACACTGATGGACAAATTTAACGCACCTATCAATTTATTTAGTTTTAAAATTAAATCCATTATCTTTGTACATTAGTTACAGGTAATTATGGGCTACCGTAGTCAAAATAAACAGTAAATAATGCTTTGTTTACTTCCTTTGTTTACTTTTGTATTGATTAATCCCATTTGCACAAAAAGGAGCATTATGCCCTTCCATTCTGCTTAATGATCGCTGTCAGTTAATCTTTTTCCTTCGTTAATTTCATTTTATATTATTCTTATTCTTAAACCTTTTTCAATGGTTCCAGTCAGGTATTTTAGTGTGTTTGATACAGTCAGGGTCATAAAATTATTAAAGGAAGAATAGAGCTAGCGCGAAGTCGCCAGGAGACTAATTATAAATAAGAAGGGTTCTTCTGGGCTTCAGAGGTTCAGGGCTTCACACTAGGAGGCCAAGACAGAGTCGACTAGGTCTACAGACGAGAGAGATGATATTCTTCCGTCATCAGGCCCTACGAAACCGCAGTATTGCTTGGCCTTTGATTGATTTCCTTTGATTTATCACGACCGTTAATAATTGTTGCTGTAATATATCTGAAAGTTATTAACTTAGCTAGAAAGCATTATTTAGACACAATCTGCTCAAGTTGTTGAATAAGGAACATCAATTAATTAGTAGAAGCAGTGAATGTTCTCTTAATTGAAAGGGTTATTTCATTTGTTTTTAAATATTTTTTTATATATTTATCATGTATGTATCAATTATTGGTTTGATTGATAATCATTACAAGAATAAATTTAATAATTTAAAGAAGTGTTGATATATTGGTTGATAGTTCAAACTCTCTTCTTTTTTTGCTGTTTTTGCTGAGAAAGTATTAGCATTTTTGAAAATTCTTCTTCTTTTTCTTGAAGACAATAAATAACGAAGTGTGTTATAGAAGAGTAAATAAATGGATTTTGAAACTGCAGAGAAATAGATGCATATTCATAAAAAAAAAAATTTCTATACTCTTATACATCTAAGGTCCAAATAAAAACAATACGTCACATAATTTTCAGTCATGATTTTCTTTTGTCAACAAGGGTTTTTCTTGAAGCGTCCACCGAACAAAACAAAAATAAGCGAAGCAGGCGAGGATTTCTTCACCGAGACTCTTTGCCCAGTTAGATGTGTGTACAAAGAAAAAGGATAAAATATCGCCCCTGCAAGCTGTCCCGCTAAAGAAACCGACCACTGAGCTCACGGCTCCCGCCCTTATGTTGAATAATTCAACGTTTCCGTCTAAGTGACTCTGCTTTTTTCAAAACATAAAATAAGCAAACAGATAAAAAATACGTAAAAAAATGCACCAGTCGAAAAAAATCTTGTATAATTATATTTTTTATTTTTTTAAATTTCTTTCTTTCTTTATTTTTTTAAACGAGGGTTTGCAATAGCAGAGGTCATATCAATCCTCGAGGGGCGGGTGTTTTTGAAAAAAAAACCTTTTGTAAGTATGACGGTCCTGAATTCGAACCCTGGACCTTTGCCTTACAGTGATGAGCGCCGTGTCAACGCCTAAACCGTTGCGGCCACCGACGCCCCCTATAAATTGTATTAAATAAGTCAGTGTGCAAATGTGTAATATTTAGTATTACATTATAAAATACAATAGAATATATATCTGAATAGAATTAAAATAAATCAGTTGGCTATAACGGTACCTGAAAAAATTAGGGAAAAACACAACTTTGACATACCCTTTCAAGTGACCATAATCTCTATAATAGAGACCTTTAGAAAAACAATAACCGCAAGTTTCAGGAAGTGGCATATATAATATACAGATGGAATTTGGTACAGGGAGTTGATGTAGGGATAATTGGGGTGAACTATACCCTAGCAAAGCCCCTTGGACAAATCCCGACATCTGGGCCGGGTTAAGCAACCCCTTCCTTTCACGCTAATAAATTACATTCATTCCAATAAATTAACATAAACACAACACTGACTAACCGTACAAAAGCTATATAGATTCAAAAATTCCTATAGTCTTAAGATACCGTATCCGTGACCCAAAACTACGCACAGGGCCGACGCTATATAGAATTATTGCTGAAAACATCCAACCTTTTACAATTGAAAATATGCTCGACCGTTATTATATTCTTGCAGAAGTTACCCATGAGTTATTCTTGCATGACCTTGCGTAGTCTTGTCAGTATGGCCTTTTCCCTGTTCGACACGTTCTCCTTGGCCAAGGGACCGACGTCTTTTTTAACCCGCCACAGTTTGGCAGGGTTATTTTTTTTAACTAGAGTAAATCATGTGATAGCAATATAATAAACAAAAATGTCTCTTTTCTTCCATCATGTATTTATCCATACACCTCACAAATGATAGGATTTTAACAAATATTACATATCTTCATAAAATGAGGATTTTGTCGGTTCTATTGTTCATATTTAACGATTTTATTTTTAATTCCATTATTTTTGGCATCGTTGAAAACACAGAGATATTTGTTTAATCGGAAACTGATCGATTGTTGCGAAGCCGTATACAAATTTGTTTACAGCTCAAGTTGCTTGGACGTTTTTCATATAGCTCTGCTCAAATGTGGTTGGATATTTGATAAAGGGCCAAATTCGTTGATCAAATCTTCGACGAAATTTACTTTTATTAGATCATAAAGACAAGTTATCAATGTTCATGGCTGAAAGGTAACTACGTAGTTTAGCGAATGCTAAAAAATACGAGGCAAAAATCCTGTTGAATTTGATTTCCTATTACGAATGTAGCATTTTCAACAGCGCTCAAAAAATATCACCTCCTGCAGTTCCTTATTGATCAGATTGCTTGATCTAACTCCAAGTAATAACATTGTCTATTAATTAATAAAATAATTTACATAAAGTAACTAAATTTATTAAATTGTTTCCAAACGTAAATTTGAGTGTTGTTACGAATATTATTTTTCGTGCGTTATTCGACTGGTGGGACGAGAAAACGGCAAGTCGGTTTTATGCTGAACCAGCTTTGGGCCACTTATTGGGTTCGTCTTCATTTTATCGGAGTGAAACTCATTTCAGTTCCTCACTGAAGATGGCGCAATGCCGGTTCAGCATGAGTTCATCGACTCGCAGATGAACACCAATCATCAAGTCAGTTTTTAGCTAATACATTATGAATAAGTTCAATTCGTGATAATTCTTGTTGAGCTTTGCGGAGTTATGAACTTATATTTTGATCTGCCTAATTTACCTGTTTAGTCTGTCATAATCGTTTTGTCAATCTTCATTAGTCGGTCTTTCTGTTTTTTTTTTTACTTTTTATGCGTTCTTACATTTTTTTTTCTGTGGTATTTTGTCTGGGTTAGGTGGTTTTATTTTTATGTATTGTAGTGTTATGAATGGTTTGTGTGAGTTTTTTTATGTGTTCATAGGTTTCCTCTTTTCAATTGTTGTCTTTGTGGATCTAGTAATACTGTTGCAAGATAACATGATAAAATTACCAAGATGTCAGCGTATTACAAAATCCTGGCGAGTTGTCCTTCACCTGAAAGCGAAATTAATGACTGATTATGAGCTGCCTGTTTTTTTACATATGTTTTTTTATCAGTATTATTGTATTTACGTAGCAACCGTTGTTGGATGATGTGTTTTGAGTTTGGTTTGTACGTTTTAGTGATTCTGCTCGTTTGTTGTAATTTGTTCCGTTTTGGGACATATATTTGCCTGTTATATACTAAAATTGAAAGGTAGAAAATTCCCGTCGTTATAACAAATATTTATATAATATGTCAAATTTTATATTATAAAAGTATTAAATCATGTGATTGAAAGAGTGTATTTTGAAAGTATCAAGAAGCGAATTTTTGTGTATAGATGTGTTAAATTGTGTACGTAAAAAATTAAACGTAGTTGTTTAGAACGAGAAGGAGACTGAGTACAATGACACTGAACTCAACACCGGTTCGTCCGTATAGGGCATAGCTCCGTTCATTAAAATCGAAATAATCGAGATAAAACCAGTAAAGGAGGAAGTACTGTGGTAAAGTGATGTCGATGCAGTCCCAATTGGCCGTGGCCAAAGCGTACACATAACCTTCGCAAACCAACGGACTGCCTGAGTCGCCGTCGCAAAAGGCTTCGCCCTGTTTACCAGAAGAAGCGCATATTTCACCAAATTTAGTCACCAAATCTTCGGCTTTCCACGCCGTTTCTCTGCATCTGCGCTCTTCCCACGGCTTGACTTCGATGACCATCAGGACCGTTGACGGGACTTCACCCTTGGTGTTTGGGTAATCTGTAACCCCCCATCCCATAGCCATACAGGGTTTTCCGGATACGACGAATTGTTCCCAGGCCTTCTTGAATTCCTCCTTGTTTCTTGATACGATCTTCATGGGCTGCAGTGTGCTGCTCGGGACGAAAGGTTCGCTCAGTTCTGCCGTCGCGATGTCGTGGAAGAAGCTACCATCCTGCCGGCGCTGGAACCCCCGGTGAAGGCTGTACTGTTTTATCGTCCTTTCTTGGTAACCGTCTGACCGGTCCGTGTAATTCACCGTTCCCCCAATTACTTTTGCAGTTTTTATATTAAGGTAAACTTTCCTATCGTTTCGGTCCCAGAGAAAAAAACAGTGTGCAGCGCTTAAAACCTTACTCATTGTCATAAGACTCCCGCCGCAGAACAAATTACCATAGATAAAAACGGCGAAAGGGAATTCCCCTTTATTGGCACTTCTCGCTCCATATGTTTTATCAGTGACTCCTAGTAGTTCTGGAATGATGAATGCAAAAATAATGAAGAGTGTCGACAGTGGCATTTGGTAAAAATTTGGAATTTGGAAATGTAAGTGTGAAAATTTTGAGAATTTGAAAGAAAACAAAATAAATTATGAATTCACATTCGTTATTGCGATCACATGTCTAATTAAATATTTTTAATATTACGTACGTTAGAAATATTGCATTCATATTCTCTTTGAAAAAATAATAAATTTTTCTTGATAAAAAAATCTATTCAGGGTAAATTACAAGGTGCATATTTCTGACGTGAACTCTATTCTAAATTACTTCTACATTAGCTTAAAATCAAGAAAAATACAGTTTGTTTCATTTAAAAAATTATATTTTTTCTTCTTTTAATATTAAATGAAATTACTATTCAAAATATATCCCACTGCGATCCTCTGTCATTAGGTTTCCTTCAAACAGGTGCGGGAAAGCTGGTACTTTGGGATGGTTGTCCAAAAATTCCTACGCGGGAATTACTTCTGCTAAACTATTAATTTTTCCTTGAGACAAAGTAGGCTATATATAATCAATTCTAATAAATTTGTACTAAATTGTGTACTAAAAACGGCGAAAGGAAAATAATTAAAAACAAAAAAAAAAACCGCCCAAGAATACACCCGGCGAGCCTGAGGTCTTGACTCTCAGCGATTATTCCATTCTAAACAGTTAATTTAGATTTCCTCTAGTAAAAAAAGGTGACTAAATTTTGGTTGACATTTGGGTGAAACAATTTTATTAATTCATTCAAGATCAATTTTAAATATTAATTAAATTTCTTCGTTGTTTTTTCCTTTTTTTGTCCTTCGCTTTATCCAAACCCATCACATGAAATTTATTTCTCTTTTTGACATAAATATCATTTAACTAGTCATAACAGAATTCGGATTTCCCTGCTTTGTGAGCAAATGTTGGGCCGAACGTTATCTTTCTGGAATAGAAATCCTTTTTGCAGTTTTCCAAAGTTAGGCAACGCTGTGACATTTTTCGCGTACAGTCTTTCTAACTTCATCGTAGAGTTCAGAGTTCCCTGAAACACAAATTTGTGAAGAATACCCGGATGGAATTTTTTTAACATGGATATGTTTTTGGGCTGGATACGCATTTTTTGTATGTAATCATTTTTGCGTCACCGAACTCGCATTACCAAGGAATGCTCACGGGTTGGGTTAGATTAGGTTTTGTTTATTATTATTAGATAGGTAAGGTATGGTAAGAAAAGGTAGAGTCAAAGACTGTTACGTTAGGTATAGGTAAAGGTAGGACTAGAGTTAAAATTAGGGAAAGATTATGTTAGGTGGGATTAGAGTTTGGATTAGGCTTATGGTTAGTAACGGATTAGGTTTACGGTTCGGTAGGGTAGGGTTACTTTTTTGTATTACAATTACCCACATTTTAACACAGTCTTTTGGTAAAGGTAAGGTCTTTTCGTATCACATGAGCTTTTTGGAAAAGTTTTCGTTATTCCCACTGGCACGAATATGCACGACCAGTCTGTTACCAATTTACATCAGTATTGGTGGTCACCTTGATGATGTTTATTCCGACATATCAATTGTTTCGGTTTTTCGGTGAGTGATGTTCATTATCAGTAACGTCGATGGTGAACGATATATTTCGATATGCAATTAACATCGATGTAGCCTAATTGATCCTGCGGCGATATTTAGCGATATGAATGATGTCTATACTTTATTTATCATTTGATTAAATAGGCGAGAATCATAGGGAAGCGGCTGCGACTAGTGCCATATCATCGTCCAGGTTCTTGTTTTACAACAAACTAAACATTCAATCAAATTTGTTTTATGAGGTTAATTAATCGAATTTATATCTTACACTCCATGGATGGACCGATAAATTACCTGGTGCTCTGTCTGTAACCTAAATGCAAGAGAGGACTTATTCCATTATTTAGCAATATGTACTGTTCTTGCCGAGTTCCGTATGCTTTACCTGGGTACTTCCAAGCTTAGTGAATCCCAGCTCAATTCTCTGCTCGACTCTTATTGCCGACCACTCATTAAATTTGCACGCTTTGCGTGGCATTATGGATACTTTGTAGTACAGCAGTTCAATTTTTAAACATTCTCACTCGTTCTTCACAATGGTTTGTATTTTATTTGTTCCATTTTTTTCTCTTTTACATGTTTGTTTACACAATATTTGTATTTTTACTTAGTTAAGTGTTACATTCTATTTTTTTTGTATCTTTCTCTCTTCCTTTCTATACCTTTGATACTTGAAAACCCTCAAAAACTGTCAATGGAAGGGGGAGAGTGAGGGAGGAGAATAATATTGCCAAGGATGGTCCTACATTTAGGAAATAAAGTATTGTTATTATTATTATTAGAATTACGAGACCTCCTAGGAGGCCTGATAGATCAGGGGGAGTCACCCACCTTGGTGCCTGAGCGACTCCGAGGTTGGGCTCTAGTCGGGCGCCATCGACTTCTTTGGTCCTTTCGCCGCCCTTACGTTCCCTAAAACTAGTCATTCTCACACTCACTCATACAATAAATACATACAAACTCCTATGTACAAACCCAATCACACATGCATTTTTTATTTTTTTATATATATATATTTTTTTTTGACTGGGGCTTCCGACATCTAGGTCATTTCAGCCCCCAACTAAGTCTATATTCTATTTACCCTTTCAAACACTACATTCATACAAATAAATACATTCATACACATAAATACATCCATACAATACACTCATTCCGTTTGGTCAGTGGAGTACTTGATATTCCTCCACCGACCTATACTCAAACTAATCTAGAGAACTTTTATAAATATAATTCCATCGACCTCGAACACACACTCATACGCTCTCAACGTTATATTTCACCCTCACCCCTCGCCATTCACGCTAATAAATACACGCACTCAAACAAAACATATGGACACACAACAATTTTTAACTTTATCAACCGCACTACAATTCTTAAAAACAAGTTAGTAGGCACTTTCTTTGGGTACACGTGACTGTCCTTTAGTAAAACTGTAGTTTGTATTGAAGCACTAGTTTATTTCTATAATACACTTTTACGTAAAACAATATGTATTTTTTATCGAATTATAACATACTTATTTTAATTTAAACTAACGTAAACGGGCATCATGAAATTCACGAGTTTTAAAAGAATATATTTAATTTTGATGGTTTGAAAGGAAATCCACTCAAAAAATAGGAAAATTATTTAGTGGTACATTAAAATTTGACTAACAATTTATTGCCTAGTCTTACTCTTAGTTAAATATTTCCTCCTCTGGCCACGCGGAAGGACTTAAATCTCCTAGGCATTGAGTAAATAAGAGATCGGATTTCGTCTCGTAAAACAGAATCCCATTCTTTAACCGTCTCTTTATCATGTCCCCTAAGTGTTCTATAGGAGAACGTGCTGGCCAATTCATTGTGGGAATCCCTATGTCCTCTAAGTAATGGATGACAACTAGAGCTACATGGGGTCGAGCATTATCACCATAAATGGAGCTAATGGGTATCGTTCTGTATGGCAATCGGTACGTGCATGGAGTCGATAATACCCCATATTTTTAAAAGGATGTAACGCATGGCACATGAGGCAAAACGTTCTCAAGAACCTGATGCGGAACGTCTATTCTCATGAATCTTTCTGATGACTGTTTTAGACCCTTAGATTAAGGATTTGGAGTTGACTACCTATCGTTAAATGACTGTTCCGTAATGTGGTAGGGGCAAGAAAAACCAGAACTCTACTCGTCCTACATCGTGGTCAACCAATACTTTGTTTTCCTTCGAGACTTCCCGTGACCCTAAAACTATGTATTTTAACGTGGATGGTCCCAAAACTTGAACTTGGTAACGAAGGCTACTACGTCCGTCTTTGGGAAAGCACCACCCGAGCGTGGCTCGACTTAAAACACGTTTAAAAAAATTAAAAGTTGTTTCATCAAATGAAATCAATTAAAAACCAATTAACTCACTCGATTAGTTCGCTCTGGAAAGAATGAAATTGAACTGATTTTCTTTCTTAATCTAAAGAGAGTAAAAGGATTAGTATCCCTCTATGAAGGCAATCAACATGTTATTAATCCCTTTTGCTTACAGTGTTAGATATTTTGGGTTGACCTTGTACCCAAATTTGAGATTTAATTTACATATTGATTCTTTGGTCTCCCGTCAGAGAAAGCTTTTTATCAATTTAGAATTTACGGAATTTTCTGAAAATTGAACTCTTAAGGGCAGTATATTTTTCTCTTGCACAATCCATAGCCTATGGTATTGTTTCCTGGTGGGGGGGGTTTACTAATAAATGCTATACTAAGCTTGTATGTAACTAGATGTAACTATAAACGCTTAAAATTATTTTACGTAAACCTTATAGATATAATCCGAAAAAAATTATATAATGAATTTAATGTAATGATTCTATACCAAATCTTTCTTAATGTTTATGTTTGTATATATGTAAAAATACTCTTGTAACTAGTTACATCAATGAATATAACACAAGACACAATTCATTAGCTAACACGCGTTGTTTTTTTTAAATTTTTTTAAAGAGAGGATCATTTCAAAAACTACAAAAAAGGCAAAAAATTATAATTTCAAAAATTTTAAATTGTAATTAAGATATTTAAAAGCCAAGATTTAATTTGATTGTTTGTTTTTTCATACTACACGTTTATTCTGTATTATGTTTCTTTATTTGTTTGTTTTCCATTATGCTTTTGTAAAGATATGTTTATTTTCTGAGGATCTCCAAAAACTCCTGCTGTATAGTACAAGCTTTGCTTTTTGATAGCAGGCAAGAATGTACCAAAATATTATTTTTTGTTGTAATTTTATTTGTAATGTACATACTTGCAAATATTATTATTTTATTTATGTGCCATATTATTGTTATTATTATTATTAATTCCATTATATTTCGTGGTTCGATTGACTAAATAACTTCTTTCAATTAATTAATACTTATGTAAAGTATTGGTTGAAATGAAATGAACCACGATATAAGTAAAACGAAGTATATTTTCACTAAAGCTCTCCGTGGCTATTTCATTTGTCACCGAGAATCGAATCCTGATTACACGACATTTGAAAAATGGCAAAAAAGAGGGAAAATTTGAATGTTGGGT